AGGAGATCATCGACCTGACGTGCGAGGAGGCGAGCCGGGAGCCGGCGGCGCGCGGCAGCCTGCGGCCCAACCCGGAGCTGGCCAAGGTCATCGAGGTGGCCGCGCGGCTCAGCCTGCGCGGCCGCGGGGGCCATGGTGGCCACCATGACCACTATGGACATGATGGCCATGGGGGTCATGATGACCGCTATGACCTCTATGGCCATGATGACCGTGATGACCATGATGGCCACGATGATCCTGATGGCCATGGTGGCCACAATGACCATGATGGCCACGATGACCGCGTTGACCGCCATGACCACAATGACCGTGATGGCCACCATAACTTCTATGGGCACGATGACCATGATGGCCATGACGACCATGTTGACCATGATGACCACAATGACCGTGATGGCCACGATGACCTCTATGGGCACGATGACCACTATGGCCACGATGACCGCGTTGACCGCCATGACCACAATGACCGTGATGGCCACGATGACCATGATGGCCACAATGACCTCTATGGCCACGATGACTGTGTTGACCACCTTGACCATGATGGCCACAATGACCGTGTTGACCGCCATGACCGTGATGACCACGATGACCATGATGACCACGATGGCCGCAATGGCCATGATGACCGTGATGACCACGATGACCGCAATGACCACGATGGCCATGATGACTGCTATGACCACTATGACCTCTACGGGCATGATGGCCATGATGACCACAATGACCACGATAACCGCTATGACCTCTATGGCCACGATGACCACGGGTTCTGCGGGACGCACCGGCAAGCCCTGAAGCTCTTCTGCGAGCGGGAGCGCGTGCTCATCTGCCTGGCGTGCCGGGAGGCCCCGGAGCACCGGGATCACGCCGTGGTGCCCACCGAGGAGGCCACCGAGGAGTACAAGGTAGGAGCAGGTCCGAGGAGGAGGAGGGAGCAGGAGGAAGGAGCCTCGTTGCTGGCAAACCTCTTCATTTCCTTGGTTTGCCCTTGGTGTTCCCAGCTTGGAGTTGTCCATCCTCGGATTATTTAGGGGCGTCCTTTGGTTGAGGACGAGAGGGACCTCAGGAGGTGGCTTGGTCCAAACTCTTGCTCAAATCAGGGCCCACCAGGGCCATTTGGGGTCCAGCATCTCCACAGTGACCTCAAGCCACTTGTTGGCTCCTCTCCTCAACCCGAGGCGTTTTCCTCTTCTGGAGCACCAGGAACATCCCCCAGCAAGGGGAGAGAGAATTCCAGGTTGTCCTGGATTAAGCGGAGAGGAACCCAGCGAGGCGGGATGAACAAGGGACAGAAGGGCAAAAACGGCCCCTTGAGATGGTCCTTCCCCGCAGGAGAAGCTCCAGGCCCACGTGCAGGTCCTGAAGGACAGGAGAGCAAAACTGCTGCGACTGAGAGCGTCCGAGGAAGGGAAGAGCCTGGACCTCCTCGTAAGCACCTGGACCTCTGTGTCCATGGCGTTCTCCTGCTTTTCTCGGGGTTATCCTTGCCGTGGTCCCGGAGATGGACCCAAGCCACCCAACCCACCGTGTCTCCCAACCCAATGTCCACGCCGTGCCCTGGTTCTCCTCGCAGGAGCGGGTGGCCGCGGAGAGGCAGAAGGTCGCGTCCGGCATCGAGGGGCTGCGTCGGCTTGTGGAGGAGCAGGAGCGCGTCCTGCTGGGGCGGCTGGCCGAGCTGGACGGCGAGGTCGCCAGGAGGCGGGAGGAGAGCATGGGGCGGCTCTCGCAGGAGATCGCGTCCATCGGGGAGGACATTGCGGAGCTGGAAGGGAAGTGCCGGCAGTCGGCATGGGAATTCCTGCAGGTGAGAGCCTGGGTCATGAGGACAACCATCGACCACGGCTGGTGCCACCATCAACCACGGTTGGCGGTAGATGTTGACCACCACGTTGGGTCTTCTGCGCTGACCTCATCTTCCTTCTCTCGTCTTTCTCTTGCAGGACATCGGGAGCATCTTGGGCAGGTTTGTGGCCCCTTCACGCGTGTTGCTTATGGTGGCGGCGCTGATGGACACCCAAATCCCATCCCATCCCCCGGATTCTAGGGACTGTGAAGATACGGTTGGGGTTGAGTTTTCTCCTTTCTTCTGAAGTCTCTAGGGCAGAGAGCTGGTCACTCTGGCCCTTCTATTGACACCAAGAGGACACGTCTCCTCTGACCCGTTTGATGGGACCTCAACCTCCGGGATGCATCACGTCCCTCCTTGGAAAGCCGGGGCCCTGCAGGGGGTGGGACCCCAGGGAACGCGCGCTCGGGGTCAGCAAACCCTCCTTGGGCAGCTTGTTAAGGACTTTCCAGGGCCAAATCTTCACTCCATCCCCTACAAAGTCGCTCCTCGCATGGAAATTGCTCTGGGCACCACAACGGTTGTCAGAAAAATCTCATTTCTCCCCAGGCTTGAGGAGGAGGAGGAGGTCCCGAAGCCCGACGAGGTCTCACTGGTGCTGGGCGAGAGACCCATGGGTTTCCCTGAGAAAAACGCCGCTCTCTGGGAGATGTTGCTGAGGTTTCAAGGTGCGGAGGAGGGTTTGAGGTTGCGCGGGGTGGGTTGCAGCAGGTCTGAGGCTGCCTGGGCTGAGGACGAAGGGGGGCGTCCATGGGGGATCCCATGGGGACGCCCTGGTGAGGTCTATGAAGGGGACACCCCTGTGATGCCTATGAAGGGGACACCCTTGTGCTATCTACAAAGGGGAAGCCCATGGGCATGCCCATAGTGATGTCTACAAAGGGGACGCCCATGGGGACACCCCTGTGACATCTACGAAGGGGATACCCGGGTGATGTCTATGAAGGGGACACCCTTGGGGACACCCCAGTGACATTTATCAAGGAGACATCCTTGTGATGTCTATGAAGGGGATGTCCATGTGACATCTATGAAGGGGACACCCTTGGGGACACCCTGGTGACATCTGTGAAGGGGACACCCATGGGATGCCGATGGTGCCGTCTACGAAGGGGACGCCCATGGGGACACCCTTGTGACATCTACAAAGGGGACGCCCATAGGGACGCCCTGGAGATGTCTAAGAAGTGGACGCACTTGGGGACACCCCCGTGATGTCTATGGAGGGGACGCCCATGGGGACACCCTGGAGATGTCTGTGAAGGGGACACCCATGGACATGTCCATAGTGACGTCTACGAAGGGGACGCCCATGGGGACACCCCTGTGATGTCTACAAAGGGGACGCCCTGGAGATATCTATGAAGGGGAAGCCCATGGGGATGCCCATGGTGATGTCTACAAAGGGGACGCCCATGGGAACGTCCTGGAGATGTCTATGAAGGGGATGCCCATGGACATGTCCATAGTGATGTCTACAAAGGGGACGCCCATGGGGACACCCCTGTGACGTCTACAAAGGGGACACCCATGG